CACTGAAAACGGCTAAATTATTGAAAAAGTTGTAACTGAGGCGAAAGTGAAAGTATTACTTTAACAAGTCAACTTGTTGGTATGGATTTTGAATTTCATTATGAGCTTATTTATATTAATTGTAATTTCCCGTGGAAATTGTCTGAGCTTTTGTGACCTTTGCAGGAATGAACTGTAGGCTTGTGGATTTGTAAGTTAAAAATTACAATGATGAACACCATTTAAGAGCCCGATTAGCAAGTTGGACCAAAATAATTATTTTGTTGGAATCATGGAAACAGAGAACTCCATTAGGAAAAATGTAGCAGATACTCTAACTGCTGAGAACCACGAGGAGAATAAACTTGATATTCAGAAAGATGATGGAACGGTATCTGAAGAGGTAAAGTTTGTCAATATCAACGAGAATGTCTGTCAGTTAGACAGAAATCATGAACAAGAACCTGTTGGCAACGAGATGTATGATTCAGAGACTAGAGAAGAAGGGGCAAAAATGGACAGAGATGCTGAAAATGTCCCTGAGGGCACAAAGTTAGATTCTAAAGTTCACGAAGGAACAAAAGAAGCTACAGGGGAAACTCTTAATGAAGAGAAAGAAGCAGATCCTGTCTTTGATGGAACAGAAGTTCCTGGGATGGAAGCTAACCAGAGTAATACTAATCTGGAAACTGAGGGACCTGCTTGGCCTGAGAAGGCTTTGGCACTAAAGAATTTTGTAAAGGCAAAGAGTGCAATTACAGTCACAACTTTTCTGCGTCGCTTATCTGGAAAGAGGGATAATCTTGAACAGGATATACCTGTTGATGAAACTAAGGAGGATTCAGATCCCCCAAAAGAAAGTGGTTCCCCCAAAGATGGTGAAACAAGAGAAGTCTCCCAAAAACCAGCAGAGAAATCTGCTTGGAATCCACTAAGCTATATTAAGATTACTCGTGATGCTGATATAGAAAGCAAAACTGATCCAAGGAAGGAAATGATTGAAGCATCAGCACAACTGATAGTGATGAAAGGAAGAATTATACTATACACAAGGTTAGGGTGCCAAGATTGTAGAGAGGTTAGGTTACTTTTGCGCAGAAGGAAGCTTAGATATGTTGAGATTAACGTTGATGTCTACCCCAGCAGGAAGCTGGAGTTAGAAAACATTGCACGTTCTTCTGCTGTTCCTAAGGTGGTTTTTAATGAAATAGTAATTGGAGGCTTTAATGAGCTTAAGGGCTTGGATGAGTCAGGAAAGCTTGATGAGAAAATTGACTATCTGATTAACGAAGCACCATCGTTTGAAGCCCCTTTACCGCCTCTTTCTGGCGAAGATGATGTCTCCTGCAGTGGGGCTCTTGATGAGCTAGCTCTTATTGTTCGGAAAATGAAGCAATCTATTATTATTAAGGATCGATTTTATAAAATGCGCTGGTTCACCAACTGCTTTTTAGGCTCAGAAGCTGTGGATTTCTTATCAGAGGATCAGTACTTGGAAAGGGCAGACGTAAGTTATTCTATAGCTATTTAGGTTGCTTTTGCAGAAATTAATGTTGATATTTTGAAAATGGTATTTCCATATAGTGTCTCAGGAGTGCAGTGCATGATGGGTTTTATATATTGAATTGTCTGAAAGAACAAATGAGGCATGTCAGAAATGGAAGTTACATGATTTAGAATATAATATTGTGGAAAGATACTATTCTTGCAAAGCCTCTTTTTTTCTCATTTATTTTTCTGTCCCATGGAGCAGGCTGTTGAATTCGCACGAAAGCTTGCAAGCAAGCTCTTTTTTCAACATGTTCTTGAGTAAGTTCCTTGCTGTAGTAGTAAAGTATTTTTTATCTTTGCTTGTGTTATTATGCAAATAACTTGAAATTTGTCGATTTTCCTTTTATGATGCATGTTAGTGAGAATCTATTTGAGGATGGCAACCACTTCTATCGGTTCTTGGATGATGATCCCATAGTGTCATCTCAATGTCAGAACATTCCGAGGGGTTTAATTGATGTGAAGCCTAAGCGAATCACAGAAATTGCATCAAGACTGAGATTCTTGTCTTATGCAATTATTGAAGCCTACACATCAGAAGATGGAAAGCATGTTGACTACATAAGCATTCATGGAAGTGAGGAATTTGCAAGGTTTGGAATCCTTGGTTGTATGAAAATGTTTAAATTCTAAAGTATAATGAATATCTTTTTGTTTTTATGCTCAAACTATAACTGTTTATTGCAACATCTGCTTAGGTATTTGAGAATAATTCAGGAACTTCATAGAGTAGAGTTGCAAGATCTATCAAGAGAGGAGAAGCTTGCCTTCTTTATAAATCTTTACAATATGATGGCAATCCATGCAATACTTGTGTGCGGTTACCCAGTTGGAGCGCTAGAACGAAGGAAGATGTTTGGAGACTTCAAATATGTAATCGGTGGATGCACATATTCTCTCTCAGCTATTCAAAATGGAATATTGAGGGGCAACCAGAGACCTCCATACAATATTATGAAGCCATTTGGGGCAAAAGATAAACGTTCCAAGGTAAGATAGCATACAGTATTATTCTTTATTATTGAATTTCATGCTGTAACAAAGGAAGTTAACTTGTTACATGACCATGGTGGTTGTTTTATTCAACAGAAAAAATCTAAAGCTTTTGGCTCAAGGGAGCAGGGCCTTAGTTTGTTCTAAAACTCTCTGTAAAAGAGATGACTGTTATTTTACTTCTTCGCTTCTTTTTTTACTTCTTGTTGGAAGGGGGGA